AGCTAAGGAGCCTTGCTTGAAATTCCTTTCCAGGGACGAAGCTGGAAATCTGCTTTCTCGGGCAAGATTGCAGCCGAGAAATCACGCAGATGCTCCTGGTGGTGTCTGACATCTGCATCTCTTGGGTTTTTTTGGCTTTTTGTTTTTTTTTTTTTTTTTTCTAGCCTCCAGAGACAGCGAGGAGCTCAGCGGCCTGGCCTTCCTGGATTGCAACGCCCTGCTCCTCTGCTGCGCCGGGGGCCGGCTGTGCCTGGCTGACGTGCGGCAGCCGCAGGGACCCTCGGAGGCCGCGGCCGTCCCCTCGGCGCTGCGCGGTGAGCGGTGGTGCATGGGAGTGGGGCGAGGGCCTCAAGGCTCTGCCTCGAGCTCCCAGCCCGTAGCTCGCCTCTCGAGCAGAGGGCACCTCACCCTCACAGACATAAGAAAAACCTCTGAGCCTTTGGCCTCGGTGAAGTGCAGAGTCCCCTCTCCCAGCTCGGGGGCGGAATTCCTGTGCGTCTCCTGGGCTCCTGCTCTGGAAGGTTGCCTCGCTGTCTCAGGTATGTGTTTTGGGCAGAGATCTCCTTTTCTGGATGCTTTTTTGATCTCCCTATCAAGATCCCCCCTTCCTTTAAACACCCTGCTTAGGGGGTGGTTTCTCAGAGCTCCTTCTCGAGGAGCTTGACCATCATCCTCTGCAGTTGCCTCTCCCCAACAACTACAGAAGGGGCTTGGATGGGCTTGGGGGGGACTCCCGCTTCCCTCCTGGGAGAACAGAGATCTTAAGCCCTTAGCAAAGGCTGCTCTGATGGTCCCAGGGACAGCCTGGCCACAGGGATAAGACCAGCTGGGCAACAGAGCTGCCCCTTGGCCAGAGCATTGCAAATACAGCCTAGTGTACCTGCAGGCTTTTTGGATCTGGCCCGTGTTCTCCTCGGCAGCTGTGAGCTCAAGACAAGCTCCTCTGAGATTCGGATGCTCTGCTGTTGCAGATTCAGTCTGGGCCTTTGTCCTCATTTCAGCAGGCCTGCGGGGAGGCTGAGCGTGAGCCCGGTGGGACTAGAGCAAAGCAACTCGCTTCTGCCATCTCTCCGATTGTCTTTTCTTCAAGGTTTTGACGGGACGGTGCACGTGTACGACGCGGGGAGCTGGGACAGCTCTGGCAGGGAAGCAGAGCCCATCTTTGTGCACAGAGGCCATGCGTTCGGCGGGCCGGGCAGCAGCAAAAACCCTCCCTTGGTCACAGCACACACGTGGCATCCACAGAAACCGAGGACTTTACTGTCAGCGGCAAGCGACGGTTCCCTGCACGTTTGGGACTGGGTTCAGTCTTGTGGGAAGTGTGGGTAGATGGTGCTTTCGGTGAGGTGGGGTGTGTTTCCTGTCTGCGTTCCAGTTCGCGTAGGCTGCGAGGTATCTGTTTGCATGCAGATACCACTTTGAGACAGTTGTAGTGAACAGAGCCAACTGTGAAGAGTGCTATTTTTTAATATAGCAAAAAAAATTTTGATCGTGTCACTTGCTCGCCGGCATGCCAGCCTTCAAATGATAGCTGTGACTGTAGTAACCTGTAGTTCTGGTCATGTCTGCAAGCGGAGAACATCCTGCCGTCGTTCTATCGTAGACCCGTCGTGTCTGCACCACGCTTTTCGGAAGAAAACAGACAAAAAAGCAGGAGTACAGTTTGAGGAAATGGGCTCTTCTGTGGCACATTTAACCCGCTGCTTTCCAGGCCCGGGGGAAAGGCTGTACCCGCCGTGGGGTGTTGGCATTTCATCACGTGTGTGTGTCAGGAGCAGTGGCCTCTGCTCAGGAAGTCACAGTGCAAACGCAGCCTGTTTGCAGCCTGCAAAAGGAAGAGGAACAAACCTCTTCAGCCCCCAGCCTGCTGCAAGCTTTGCCCTCCCCCCTGCTCAGCCAGAGAGCGTCCAGGCTAAGAAAAGGCTTTGGTGTCTTCTGGCTCTTTTACCACCAACTGAAAGTTTAAATTTGATTGAGCTAATGTGATTTCCTGGGCCTGAGGAAGCCAGGCAGTGACTGGCAACGCCTACGCTGTTACCAAGGTGTTACTTGAGGGAGAGGGGGGGAAAAAAAACCCTGTGTGCTCCTTATGCCAAACATATTTCATCGGGGAGCTGGGGCGTCAGGGACTGTGGCAGAGCGGGGCATGGGGTGCTCACCCCCCAAAGCGGGGGGACCCTGGGGGTTTCTTGTGCTGGAGCAGCCAGCCTGGAAATGCTCCTGGGGGAGCTCATGCAGGAAGGCCTGGTTCTGCTTTCCACCCCTGGAGGGTTTCCAGCAAAACCAGTCCAGCTGTGCCCAGGTCAGACTGGTGTGAATGGGTTCTGGCAAAGGGCCTGGGAGGATTTCTGGAGGGCTTTTGGCTTTCCAGGCTCCCGACATCCCTTCCCCGGCTCCGTGAGTTTGGGAAGTGGCTTTTGCAGCGCGTGGCTGATGGGTGCACAGGCACCAAGGGTCCCCCCGGGTGGGATCTCGCCCCTCAAGGGATCTTTTTTTGAGCAAGTGGGAGATTTGACAACACCGAGGCGCGCAGCTCAGCCGCTGCAGCTCCTCCACACGCAGCCTTGAGATGGGAAAAAGAACCCCCCAGGGTGAGGGTCTGGCCCTGGAGGAGGTGGGCTCTGAGGAGGAGACCCCCCCCACAGCTCCTCTTCTTCCTCACCTTCCCCTTTGCAGGGACGTGGTGGAGGAACTGCTGGTGAGCAGAAGCAGCAGAGCTGAGCGTGACTCCATCCCACGTCCCAGTGATGCAGGTAGCGCGGAGAGGACGGGGAAGCAAATTTGCTCAGCTTCCTACAGAAATGGGTCTTAAGCAATAGCACAGTTTGTACTCATCTAAACTCATCTAAACTTCCTTTTTTTTTTTTTTTTTTTTTTTTTTTTTCTCCCCAAAAATAACTTAAGCCTCCTTGTCCAGCTTGAACCAGATTTGACAGGGGAGTGGAGATGTCCAAAATATTAAGTACTTGCAGCTGCCATGGAAAGGGATTCTGCCCTGAGGAGGGATCTCCCTTCGATCGCAACGCTGGGTGCTGAGGACATTTCTCCTCCATGTTTCAAAACGCCTCAATGTTTGATCAGGGTCCGGGGGTGTGACCATGGGGACTCAGCTTTGCCGGAGCCTTGGTGGGGGAGGTCGGGGTGGCTCCTGCCCCCGGCCCAAATGCCAAACACCCCCAAGCTGCACCGGCTCTGGGACAGTCTCTCCTTCCCCCACAGCATCAGCGCAGCAAGGGGCAGCTCGCAGCTGCATTGGACGTGGATGTGTCCAACCTTTTTCTCTCCCTGGGACCACGGAAAGGTCTTCCAGGACCCTTGTTTTCACTGAGGCAAGAGTTTTTTCCTTTCTGGCTTCACTCCAGGGCAAGGCATCGCGGCTGGGGAGAGCAGCTGGATTCGCCAGGCCGCAGCCGTTTCCCAGCAGGGAGCAAATCCAGAGTGGTGCTGTGGCTGCTGTTGGGAGCAAGCAGCGCGCTGGGTTTCTCCTCCCTTCCCTGGGAAGTGGGGAGAAGCCAGAACCCATATGTGTTCCCCCCCCTCTCATTCAGGCCCAGTCTCCAACGCCCAGATTGCGAGAGAGCGGAGGCAAAACCCAGGCAACGCTTTTGCACAAGGCCGGAGGCTGCTGCCAGCCCTGCTTTCTTTCCGAGGGTGCCTGGGGGGTTTTAAGGACCTGGGAGGGTGGAAATTCTGCTTCGAGGCCTCTTATTACTCTACCACTGCTGGGCCCTGTTTGTGGGGAGGAGATTGGGCTGATCTCAGCTGGGTTTAACGGGGCCCATTCCCCCGGCAGCACGAGCATCCTCCGCTCCTTGAGAGCCCAGGACACTTGTGCACCAAGGACTTTCCCAATTTCCCCATCCCACCCAACCGTGCCACGGAGCTGGCGTCCAGCTCTCAGCTTTCATCCCCCGGGAGTTCTTCCTCCCTTCTGCTACCCTAGGTATGCTGGAGAAACCTCAGCTTTTCCAGCTGCGGCTGCTGCAGGAGGGTTTGATGATGAGGGCTATGATGGTTGCTCTTCCTCCATGGCTGTGGGCACTGTGTCCCGGCTGGCTGGAGCTCTGCCGTGCCAGCCTTTCGGGCACAACATAAACCATCAGCTCGGAGAAGCTCCTCACCAGGACGCAGCTGGTCGTTTAAGTAGCTCATTAAAGCTGCGTCCGTCTGTCTGCGCTGGTCTTGGAGGCCGGACGGAGAGACGCCGGCGTTTCTGGGTTGCTGGGGTGGGGTTAGAGCCCGGCACGAGAGCGACGTGGTGCTCCAACGCCTTGGTTCTGCTGGCAGGGAGCCGTTCCATCCTTTCCCACCCCAAGGAGCAAGATTTCCCGTTAGCTAAAAGCAAGGAGGGTGGCGGGAGCGGCAGCTTGGTGCGAGCCCTCTTTTAGCCCATTTTAGCATCGATTTTTTTTTTTTTTTTTTTTTTTAGCATCGATTTGCGTGGTTTCTGCTCCAGCCCGGAGCTCGCGGGGTGCACGCTTGGGCGCGAGCAGAGGATGGGAGCCAAGGCGAGATTTACCCGCCGGAGCTGGGGGAGCTTGGAAGCCGGGAGACGGCAGGGTGCGGGGACTAGGGGTGGCTAAAATCTCCTACAGCCAGAAAAGGGGGGTCTGGAGGGGGCAGCTGAGCAGCCACTGAGCCCCAGGGGTGACCCAGCAGCCCCGGGGAGGAGAGGGGGGAGCTGGAAACACCAGGATGGTGCTGGAGACGGGTTTGCGTGGATAAATTAATCTGCCAGGACAGGAGCAGCGGGAGCCTGAGGTGCTGCGACAAGAAAATCCGCTCGCGTGGGTTTGCAGGGAGTTGCTGTGGGGGGGACAGGACCCCCGGGACCCCTCCAGCATCACAGTGGGGGGGCCATGCTGGAGAACACCCCAGGACTGTGCCAGCTCCCCTGCCCTGAGCCAACAGAAGCGCCCAGGCGCTGGGACTGTATTTTGATTTTGTTATTGTTGTTTTTTTGTTTGTTTGGTTTTTTTGTTTTGTTTTTTTTTTCTGAGTTTAATAAACTAGAATAATTTATTTGACAGAACACAGAAACGTCACAGATATGGTGGAAGAAACCAAAGAAGCGGGTTATCAGTGAACAGTACAAAGTAACCACTTTACAAAAAAGAAGTACCACGCTGCCCATCAGCTTTACCCCAAAATAACGGGAGGTGCTGATCCCTGCACACCCCCCCCAGATTGGGAGGGGGGGGCAATGGAGCTATCTCCCCACGGGTTGCTCTCGGATGACAACGCTGACCGCAACGGCACAATAAATAGTGGGCAGAAGCCTCTCGGTTGGTGGTGGGAGACCCAAGACCCCCCCCGACCCCCCCCCAGAGGTGGGGTGGGGGGTTTTGGGGAGGCGGGGGGGGGGTGATGGGCCCCAGGCCGGGCAGCACTGAGCCGAGAGGCACAAGCACCCAGCGAAACACGGGTGGCCAAGGCTGTGTTCCCCTTCCCACCCCGCCCCCCCCAGATAGGTGCTTGACCCCCCCAACTCACACAGGCACCGATGGCGGGGCGGGGGGGGGGGGGGAACATCAACCAGGGGAAGCTCTGCAGCTCGGGGCGTGGGGGGGCCAAAGCATCCCTGGTGTAACCCCACGGGGAACAAAGCTGTTATGCCACAGCCCTGCTGGGGCTGGGAAGGGGCATTTGGAGCCCCCTGCCCCCCCCCCCCAACCCAAGTGTGTGGCTGATGGCGTGGCCCCGGGGTGGGGGGGGGGGGGTGTGTGTGTCCCCCTCAGCTGCCAGCTCCAAGACCATGAACCCAGCCCTGAGCTCGGCTCCTCCGGGGAGGCCACGCTGGTGGAAAACCACCGCAGCTGAAGCAAAAAAATTTAAAAAGAAAAAAAAAAAAAAACCCACCCCGGGGTTGGCCGCTTTAGGAGGATTTGGGGGTAAGAATGGGGGGGGGGGGGGGGGGGGGGGGAGGATGCCCCCCCTCCCAGTCTTACCAGCTCGAAACCCCAGCGCTGGGTCAAGTCTTGGGCAGGGTGTGAGGGGCAAAGCCAGGCTGGTGCATCCCGGGGAGGGGGACACACACATATGGACCCCCCCACCAGCACACAGCGGGGCCAGCCGTGGGGGAAAGGAGGGGACAACCGAGGCGCACAGGTGCCCTTTCCCATGAGCAGGCTGCCTAGAAAATATTCGTCCGTCCCCCCCCACCTCCAAAAATTCTGCTGCACCCCCCCCTACCCCCCCTCTCCCTGTAGCAAACTGGTGTTGAGACCAGACTTATATAAAACGCATAAAAGAGGCAGCTCATAGGAAAGGGCTTGGGGAGGGGGGAATGCAGGGGGGCTGGATGGGGATGGGGGGATGCTGCGATGCTGTGGCCCCCCCCCCCAAAACACCTCCAGCACCCCCCCCACACACCCCCCCATCCGGGAAACAGCAGCTCTGGCAGCTGGATGAAGAGCGACGATGCGGCGCGGGTTCTAACGGCTGTTGGCCATTCCCGAGGCTCCCAGGTAGAAAACAAAATTAAATCATTATAGAAAAGAGAAGCAGCCTTAATGCACGGGTGTTACTGGTGTTACTGGGGCCCGGTGAGCTGCGGGGGGTGGGGGGGGGTGGGGGATGAGGTGGGGGGTTGCGGGGGCGGGGGGGGTCGCTTATCTGTCGTTGAGCTGCGGGGAGTTTGTCCGCTCCTCCTCATCCTCCTTGTCGTCCTTCATCCCTTTGAGTCGCTGGCGGGCGAAGTCTTCGAACACGATGTCGTCGTCGCTGGGACACACACACACAAAACACAAAGCGGGGGGGGAGGTTTATAGCAGGGGGGGGACACACGGGGTGCAGGATTTGGGGGTCCCCGCTGTGCCGGCTCACCCCGGTATTTCAGCAGTTTTGGGGGGAGAGGGGGCAGCTCTTAAATCCCCATCCCTTGGTTTGCAAAGCAGTTCCCACTGCATGCACCCCCATCCCCGGGGGGGCCCCACACACCCCCCCCCAACACACAATCCCAGTGGGCGCTTCCTTACTGCGATTTCTGCCTGGATTTGGGGGGTTTTAGGATTTTTTTTGGTTTGGTTTGGGTTTTTTTGGGGGGGTAGGGGAGATGGCGAGGGAGGAGGGAAGATGCCACAGCCCGGGGCGGTCTGTGGGTTTAGGGGGGGGTGTCATGCAAACGCTTCGCCACCCCCACACAGACCCCTGGGGGGGGCGGGTTGGGGATCTGGGGGGGGTCAGTGATTTTTGGGGGGGGGGGGAGGGGGAGGATTTTTTTTGTCTCTTACTTTGTGTCAAGCTCTATCAGGTTGGTATCGATGGGCGCTTCGTTCTCTGGAACTGAACAGAGGGACGTAGGGCACAGGGTTAGTCACCGCAGACGGCCCGGGGGGTGTCACCGCTGTCCCATGGGGAGGGGAGGGCATGACCCCCCCCCCCCCCCCCCAGGGTTTAGGGTGCAGCGGGGGGGCACCCCCCCATGGTTTTAACCCCAAGATTTGCCATGGGAATGGGTCAACAGGCGCTGAAAATCATCAGGCACTGCGCAGCCTCGCTGGTGCGGATAGGGGAGCGGGAAGACCGCCTCCCCCCAACCCCCCCCCCCCCCATCCCTACCATGCCCCTTCCCCCCACAACGGGGCTGCCCCCCCCACAACCCCAACCCGGGGCTGGACACTCACCGTCCCGGTGTGCTGGTTCCTCTTTGGGTTTGGGGTGCATCAGCGTGAAGGGCAGCTCCACCGCGACGTCGCTGCAAGAGACGCCGGGGTAAAACTCGGGCAAAGCAGGAGCAGAACGGGGCAAATTTGGGGGGGGGGGGGGACACACGGGACACACGGACACACACACACACACACACGGACACACAGAGGCTCTGACCCCCCAGTTCACCAGCCCTGTCCTGTCTCTTTTGGCTGCTGGGGAGTCGGTGACCCCAACAGCAGTGGCATCCCGAGGACACGTGTGGGGTCAGGGTGACAAGCAGAGGGGGCTGGGGGGGGTGGGGGGGTGGGGAAAAATGGGGGAAGGTGGGGGTGGTGGGGTCTGCAGCAGCAGCAATTTGGGGGGACCGTGGGAGTTACCTGGAGGCAAGGTCTCCCAGAAGGCTGGCGTGGGTCAAAGAAAACAATACATTAGTCACCGTGACCCCCCCCGCCAAACCTTGTGTCCCCCCCCCATCCCGCTCTGTGTGTGTGTGTCCCCCCATCCCGCTGTGTCCCCGGGGAGGTGTTGGGGGGTGATGGGCCCCACTCGTGGCATGCGAGGGCTGCGAAAGGGGCTGCGGCAAAGAGGAGGGGGCGAGCAGGGGATACTGTAGGGATTAATGACCCCCCCCCCTTTTTCCCTCCCCCCCCTCACCCCACAAAGGCCACCCCGGTGTCCCCAAGGACCACCTTGCCACAGCTTTGCTATCCCATCCCTGGGGACCACGCAGCATCCCCAGGGTGGGGGGGACGGACACGTGCCGAGGCTGGTCCCAACCCCAATGGAGAGTGAGGGAAGAGACGGGGAGCAGCACCTGGGGAGGGGGTGGGGAGAGGTGTGGGTGTCCGTGTCCCCCCCCCAAAACTCACCCTCCTCGTGACACCACCAGCTTCACCTTGACCTTGTAGGAGACAATAATGCCCAGGATCTCCTTGTTGGCTCCGTCTCTTAACCTGGAGGGAGGAGCAGGTCAGCATCAGCGAGGGGATGTCCACGGGGACCAGCCCCCCGCCAAATCCTCCACAGGGTCATCCCCCCCGCCAACGCCACGTCAGTCCCAGAGCAGGACTGGGGCTCAGTGTCCCCCCACACTGTCGGGGGGAGCCCCGGGGTTGGTCGGGGGCTCACAGCGTGCTGGAGGCCAGGTTGGTGTCCTCGTGCTTGAGCTTGCCGTCCAGCGCCAGCCCCCGCTTCTCCCGGTTGTTGGCGAGGAAGGGGGTCAGGGTGTAGACCTTGCAGAACGTCGAGCTCGGGGCCACCATGTCGCTGGGGGTGATGGCCACCATCAGCCAGAGGCCCAGCTCCCCCCGCCCAGCTCCGACAGCCCCACTGGCCACCCTGGGCTTCTCCATCCTGGCCTGGGGAACATCTCTGCCCCAGGCCCAGTCTGGAGGACATCTCCATCCCAGTCCCAGCCTGATGAACATCTCCATCCCAGTCCCAATCTGGAGGACATCTCCATCCCAGGACCAGCCTAAAGGACATCTCCATCCCAACTTCATCCCAGTCCCAGACCCGTGAACATCTCCATCCCAGCCCCAGCCTGGTAAACATGTCCATCTCAACTCCAGACCCAGACCATCATCTCCATTCCAGTCCCAGGCTGGTGAATATCTCCACCTCAACTTGAGACCTAGCCCAGATATCTCCATCTCAGTCCCAACCTGGTGAACATCTCCATCCCAGTCCCAGTCTGGAGAACATCTCCATCCCAGGACCAGTCTGGAGAACATCTCCATCCCAGGACCAGCCTAAAGGAGATCCTTATCCCAGCCCCAGCCTGGTGAACATCTCCATCCCAATTCCAGGCTGAAGGATATCTTCCCAGGACCAGCCTGGAGGATATCTCCATCCCAACTCCATCCCAGTCTCAGCCTGGAGAACAACTCCATCCCAACTCCAGACCCAACGCAACAGACATCTCCATCCCTGCCCCAGCCTGGAGCTCATCTCAGCCTGGGGGTGATGTCCCCCAGGATGCCATCAAAGAAAAGGTCTCCATCTTCCCACTCCTCCCACCAGGACCTGCTCGCGGAACGCAACATCCCGCTGGTGCTGCACTGGGGCAGGAGACCTCCAAGGCTCCACTGAGGTCCCCAGGGCCCCTCGCCTTGTCCTCACGCAGCCGGTACTCACTCGGCGTCCTCCACGGCCACCGGGCACTTGTACTGGGCGGTGTTGAAGAGGCAGATGTCGGCGTACTGGCGCACTGGGGCGAGAGATGGAGAGACAGGGGGGTTGGGGAGGGTCCCCACAGTGACGGGGACGGCAGCCGGGGGAGGGCAAAGCCCCATTTCCCACCTGAGATTTTGATCTTCTTCACCGTCTTGTTGGTGTTGTTGGTGACGTGGACGTTGACGCTGATGGGCTCTCCGTGGTAGTAGATCTGTGGGGTGGAAAGGAAGGGGGACGGTGAGGTCCCCGTCCTCCCCGGGGTCAACCCCCCCCCAGTGTCCCCTCCCTGGTTCTCGCCCACCTCCTTGTCCAGGGACGCCTCGAGGTGCAGCGGTTTGTCCGACATGAGGAACTGCCGGGTGGTCTCGGCCATGGGCTGGGGGCCGGGTCGCTCCGGCGCGTACTGGACCTTACGGATCACCAAGCGCACCGAGTTCCTGGGGGGAGACAGCGAGAGGAGAACCCAAGCCCGTTTGGGGTCCAATCCCTCTTTTCTTCTGGTCGTCTGGGGCAGGAGAAGGACGGGGGGGAGGTCACCATGGGGCAGCCCCACAGCCGTGCCAGGCTGGGCTCCTGGCCTGCAGCACAGCAGCAATGTCTCCAGCCCAACCCCTCGATCATCTCTCACCCAGCCCCACCCCGGAAAGTATCTTCAGCCCAGCTCCATCCTGGGGAGCATCTCCAGCCTGGAGAGCATCTCCATCCCAGGACCATCCTGCAGGACATCTCCATCCCAGGACCAGCCTGGAGGACATCTCCATCCCAGGACCAGCCTGCAGGACATCTCCATTCCAGGACCAGCCTGGAGGACATCTCCATCCCAGCCCCAGCCTGGGGGACATCTCCATCCCAGCCCCAGCCTGGGGGACATCTCCATCCCAGGACCAGCCTGGAGGACATCTCCATCCCAGGACCATCCTGCAGGACATCTCCATCCCAGGACCAGCCTGGGGGACATCTCCATCCCAGGACCATCCTGCAGGACATCTCCATCCCAGCCCCAGCCTGGGGGACATCTCCATCCCAGCCCCAGCCTGGGGGACATCTCCATCCCAGGACCATCCTGCAGGACATCTCCATCCCAGGACCAGCCTGGAGGACATCTCCATCCCAGAACCATCCCGCAGGACATCTCCATCCCAGCTCCATCCTGGTGAACATCATCATCCCAACTCCAGCCCCATTCCAGCAAAAATCTCCGTCCCAACCCCAACCTGGAGGACACCTCCATCCCATCCCCATCTCACCCACTGCAAGTCACAAAGCCGGGGGGGGGGGGGGGTCCATTTCCCACTGCCAGCTCGCAGCCCCTGCCAGCACCTCAAGGACGCTGCTCCCACCCGAGCAGGATGGATCCCCTCCACTCACCTCTTGTGGATTTTCTCCTCCAGGTTCTCCGCGCAGAAAGCTTTGACCTCATAGTCCACACCGCAGGCCTGGAAACCAGGAGGGGGGGCAGAGAAGGAGGCAGAGAACCCCCCCTTTGCACCCCCCGAAGAGGTGACCCCCACCAACGGCCGGTCACCGCTGCCCAGTGGCACGAGGAGGGGGGACCTTACCTTCCCCGTGTCCTCTGGGCCCGGCTGCAGCGTGACAGAGCAAGGCAGGTTGGGGGGGATCTGAAGGGGAAACGGGGGGGTTAGGGGGGGCTGGGACCCCCATCCCCAAACCACCTTTTCACCTCGGAGACCCACGGCATCACCCACTCAGCAGTGAGTCCCCTCCCAGTGCCACCACCTTGGGATTTCCTGGTGCCGCCACCATTTCCCCTTCCTGCCCACAGCCAGGAAGAATTTCCTCATTTTCCTAATTACATTTCCTAATTTTTTTTTTTTTCCTTTCCGGCCATATTTCAACCCAAGTCCTGCTCTGGATCCCTCCTAGGCAGCGGCTCAGCTTCTCCAGACCCAAACCCCAAAGAGTTATGAAAATCCATGAGTTTGGGGTTCTTTTTTTTTGATAATCTGGGGGACTTGGAGGAATGAAGATTATTTCGCAAGCGCTCAGGGCTGTTTGCAATTGGGGGGTGCAGAAGCACAAAATAGGGGGGTCCACCCCCCCCCCCCCACCTCACCAGAGCTCCCCAAGCCCCACTTGACTTTGGGGGACCCCCCCCACCCCCGACCTCTCCAAGCTTGGTGTCACTGCCTCAGTTTCCCCACCGCTGGCTGCTTTTTGCTCCTAAGATCCACCACTCAAAAACCGCATCTTCATCGTGGGTGGAAGCACCTCACCCCCAACCGCGGCTCTACGGAGGGGACCCCGATGTCCCCAAAGGGGACGGGGGGGTCACCGTCCCCTCCAGCAGCAAGGGAAGAGCACCCAGGAGCACCTCGAAGGTGAAGGGGTAGGCATGCTCGCCCAACTTCTTGATCAGCCGCTCCTGCAGCCGCGTCAGGGGCTTCTTCTCCTCGGGGACCGGGGGAAAGGCCTGGGCGTTGGCCACGAAGAGGTCCTTGCGGAAGGTCAGGCCCAGGACATCCAGGTCCTCGCGGCCGTAGCGGAAGGCACAGGTCAAGGTCACGAAGACTGGGGAGGGTGACAAGGAGGTGGAGGTTGGTGGTGGGGTGGCATCGTGGCACGGTGACGTTATGGCAGGGTGATATTGTGGAACGGTGGCACCGTGGCACGGTGACGTTATGGCAGGGTGATATTGTGGAACGGTGGCACCGTGGCACGGTGACGTTATGGCAGGGTGGCAAGGTGGTATCATGGCAGGGTGTTGCCACAGCGTGGTGGCATCATGGCACGGTGACACTACGGTATGGTGGTATCATCTCACGGCATGGTGGCATCACGGCACGCTGGTATCACAGCATGGTGACATTATGGCATGGTGGTCTCATGGCAGGGTGGTCTCATGGCAGGGTGGTCTCATGGCAGGGTGGTCTCATGGCAAGGTGGCATCACAGCATGGTGACGTTATGGTATGGTGGCCTCATGGCATGGTGATATCATGGGATGGTGGCATCCTGGCAGAGTGGTGCCACTGCATGGTGGCATCATGGAAGGGTGACATTATGGCGATGGTGGCATCACGGCAGGGTGGTATCATGGCAAAGTGGTGTCACGGCGTGGTGGCAGGGGGCTGGGAAACGTCACCCGAGGGCCCAGAGAGGCCGACAGCGGGGTGGGGGGGACACGGCTGTCCCCACGGTGGGGACACCCCCGCGGCCCCGGCACCAGCGACCCTTTCCCCGTTACCTTTCCTCTCCTTCAGGTACTCGGGGTCCACCAGCACGACTCCGTCTGCAAGGGGACACCGAGGTGTCAGGGGACACTGACGTGGGGGGACACACTGCAGGGGGGGGGGGACACATCGAGGTGTTAGGGGACACTGCCAGGGTGGGGGACACAGCACCAGGGTAAGGGGGGGGGACACTGAGGAGTTAGGGGACACTGATGGGGGGGGGGACATCGAGGTGTTAGGGGACAATGCTTGGGGGGGACACACTGCCAAGGAGGGGGACAGTGCCAGGGAGGGGGGGACACTAAGGTGTTAGGGGACATTGCTGAGGCGGGGGGGACACGGACATCGAGGTGTTAGGGGACACCACAAGGGTGGGGGACACTACTGGGTGGGGGGAACACACAGCCCCAGGGACTGGGGGGGACACTGAGGGGGGGAGGGCACTTGCAGGGAAGGGGGGGACACCGAGGTGTCAAGGGAAACCGCTGAGGTGGGGGGACACACTGCCAGGGACAGGGGGTACACTGCAAGGCAGGGGGGGGGGACACACTGTCAGGGAGCGGGGGGACACTGAGGCATTAGGGGACACTGCCGGGGAGGGGGACACATAGCACTAGGGACTGGGGGGGGCTGCACAGGCGAGCTCAGCCCACCGCGCTGTGTCTGTGTCCCCCCCCCCACCCCGAGTGTTCCCCCTCCACGGCAGCCCCCCACGTACCCACGGGATCCACCACGTCGATGTGATCCACGAAATCCCGCTTCCCCAGGTAGACGGTGAGCTGGGGGGGGGGGGACACACAACACGGACAGGGCGGGAGTTAGGGGGTGCTCAGACCACCCCCCCACACCCCGTGCCTCAGTTTCCCTCCCTGCTGCCGCAGGGTGCTCACGCAGCGTGCAGAGCAACTTTGGGGTGCTCCCCCACCTCCCCCACCCCGAGTTGTGCCAGCAGTATTTTGGGGGGGGGTGTCCCCCCTCCTCCACCTCCCCAGGGACCCCCCCGCTTACCTTCCCGTTGGGACTGGCCTTCTTAAACACCCTGCAGAGAGCAAAGAGGGGGGCGGGGGGGTTAAGGCAGGCAGGGCACCCATGGGTGCTGCAGGACCCCGGGTGGGTGATGGTGCCTTCACCCATGGGACACTGGGGAGCCCCCCCCCCTCCCCACAGTGCAAGGGGCAGGGAGCAGGCCAGGCTGGACCCCCCCACCCCCCCAGCAAGGAGAGCTGCCTGTACCCCACCGGTGACCCCCCTCGCCTCATCGTGCCTCAGTTTCCCCATGTCCCCCCCCCGCCCTCGTGCTGAAGGAGCGGGCAGCACTGCCGGGGGTGGTGGGGGGAACACAGCCCCCCCAGAGCCAGGGAGGGCAGAGACACCCCGACACGGCAAACCAGAGGAGGGCAGGGCCCCCCCCACGCTAGGAGGGACAGCACAAGTGGCCCTGTGCCCCCACATCCCCGCGTCCTCGCATCTGTGTCCCCTGTGTCCCCACATCTCTGCATCCCTATGCCCCTCCATCCCTGCACCCGTGTCCCCTGTGTCCCCCTGGCCCCACATCCCCATGTCCCCCGTGTCCCCACATCCCTTCCCCATGCCCCCACATTCCTGTGTCCCCACATCCCCACGTTTGCACAACCCCACACCCCCATGTCCCCACATTCCTGCCCTGTGTCCCCACATCCCCACACCCCTGCATCCCCGTATCCCCACATCCTTCTGTCCCCATGTCCACACCCCCCCTGCACCCCGATGTCCCCCGTGTCCCCACATCCCTGTGTCCCCACGGGAAAGCTGCTGCAATTAAAGAAATCAGGGGATTGGGCAGGGGAATAAAGGGCCTGGGCTCATTAGGGAAGGGCACAGCATTTCCCCTTCCCCACAATTAATTAATTAATTGCTTTTTAAGGCCAAGGGGTGATCAGAGCACCCAGTCTCAGCGCTGGGGATGGAGAAGGCGATGCCATCCTCCTGCGAGCAACTAACAGGGCAGGGGGGATTTTTCCAGGTAATTAATGAGGCGTTCCATAAAAGCGAGGTGAGGAGCATTGTCTGCCAGCCTGTCACCCCACATCCCCCCCCCCCCCGCCCCCCCAGGGGACCAGCACCCCAGGGACACCCCGGAGAGGCCTGGCACCGGGCTCAGCGTGGTGACGGTTCGCTGTGCCGGATCCCGACGCCGGGAAGCCCCGGGAAATGGGGCCAAAGGCTGGAGGTTCAGCCAGGACCAGCTTCCCCCCCTCCCCAGGATGTGGGGGGCGCAGCATCGAGGCCTCCTGCCCATCCCTCGTTACACAAACGAACCCGCTAACGAACCCCCGGCGATGGCGCGAGATCGATGGTGAGCAGGAAACAATTACTCAGCGCTCCTTCCCCGGTCCCCCACGCTATGGGGACAGGAGCCCCCCCACACCAGGGGGTGCAGGAGTCTGGGGTGGTCCCACATTGGGGGTGCGGGAGCCCCACAAAACCTCCTGTGAGGGTTGAGAAGCCTGGGGTGACCCCATGGTATGGGGCAGGAGCCCCACAGAGCCTGAGACCCACTTATGGGTGCAGGGGCCTGTGCTGACCCCCCCAACTATGGGTGCAGGAACCCCCACAGAGCTTGAGACCCACCCAGCCCCACATTATGGGTGCAGGAGCCCCCCAGAGCCTGAGACCCACTTATGGGTGCAGGGACCCTGCACAGCCCCACGTGACCTCATGCTGTGGGTGCAGGAGCCTCTGCTGACCCCCCACCATGGGTGCAGGAATCCCACAGAGCCTGAGACCCACTTATGGGTTCAAGACCCCTGCGCAGCCCCCACACGACCCCACGAGCCTGTCCTGGCCCCACATTATGGGTACAGGAGCCCCACAGAGCCTGTGCAGTGGGTGCAGGAGCCCCACGCAGCCCCACGGTGTACAAGCACCCTGCCTGGCCCCACGCTTTGGGTACAACAGCTCGCAGTGACCCCACGCTACGGGCGCAAGAACCCCGCCAGGCTGCCCCCCAAGAAAGCCCCACGCCCTGGATATCCACCCCGAGGAAAAAAAAAAAAAAAAAAAAAATGGTGTGCTCTGTCCGAAAGCACCCCTGGGAGAGGGGAAGGGGACACGCAGAGGGGAGGAAGGGGGCATGTGGGGACACTGATTTCTCTGGGGGACCCTCAGCCCCCCACCGCTGCCGGATCTGGAGGGAAGGGAGGAGGAAGCATGAAGCCTTCCCTTCCCCTCCAGCCCTTCCTGGTGTCGAAACGCCGGAGACACGAGGCAGGAAGCCGCCACTCGCCCACTGGTGATTTCCAAGCCCAGAGTGGACCCACACCACGGGCCGGTAGCCCCGGTGTCCCCCGAGCCCCCCGGCACGCTGCCGCACAGCCGGCTCCTGCTCTCCTGCCCTCCCCCTGCCATTGAGCCCCTACCTTAATGAGCTCGTTAGGCACCGGGCCGGGGCTAACGATCGCTTTCTTCAGTGGCTGATAATTGAGTGGGGTCCATTTGATCTCCGTGGGGAAGATTTATGAGGATTTGACTCCCCCCGCCCCACCTCCACCCGAGCCTCCACCAAGCAGGGGTCTGACGGCAACGCCACCGATTGCCTTTGAACTTGGGGCGGAGGAGCCGGGGGTTTCCATGGGTTCTCCCGCTAATGGGGCCAGCGGCCAGATCTAATTAGCCAGAGCCTCGTTAGAAGGGACCTCCGGGGATAACGGAGCCGCCAGCAACCACATCACACGCTCCGGCGGCCGGGGGCTCCGTGCCAGCCGTGTTGGGATGAGCCTGGAGCATCGTGCCAGCCGAGCCCAAAGCAGGAGCATCCCACGGGCCCAACGCTGCATCCCACATCCCCGCTGCATCCCACATCCCCGCTGCATCCCACATCCCCGCTGCATCCCACATCCCCGCTGCATCCCAGCTCGGCGGCAGCATCCCCCCGGCTTCCTTGGCAAGGAAACGCCTTGGCTGTGGGATTCGGGATGTGTCTGGATCCTGCTGTTATTCCCACAGTTTGTTCTCCAAACACCATCCAGGAAGCAGGATTCTCTCCCCTTCCCCAGCCACCTTTCAGGGTTCCTTCTCTCTTCCCAGCGGGGATCCCGCTCCCGGACCCCATGGCATCATGCAGGGGGGCCGCAGAGCACCCCAAGACGGCCCCAGCATGGTTTGATGCCGCAGAGGGGCAGGATGAGACCATGGGGTGCCCGGTGCCAACCGAGGTGGGTCCTGCCGTGCCGGGACCACCCCAGCTCCAGCCTCGTCTCCGCTGACCACCAAGAAACCACCAGCTCAAACCACGGGCCACCGGCCAAGCATCCCAACTGGCCCGCGGAGGCCAGCGGGTGCCCCCCGGAGCTGCGGCCGCCCCGGTTGGGTGGAAGGAGCTGTGAAGTTTTTGGAGAAGCTGCAAATAATTAGGCGCTGGGTTTGGCAGCGGTCGGGGCTGGCTCGGTCCCCGGCGGTGCTGGTAGCCACAAACTCGCCTGTTTACTCCGCCGAGCCGCTTCCTCCGGCTCTTCCCACCGCGGGGCTTTGAAGGGGGCTCGGCGGGAGGCTGGGAACAGTGGCACGATGACGCACGGAGCCACGCCGGCTGAGGTCCCGAGCACCCCACCAAACCCAGCCGAGCCCCCCGAGCACCCCACCAAACCCAACCGAGCCCCCCGAGCACCCCACCAAACCCGGGAACGGCTCCCGCACCCCACGCCCAGGGTTTGGCAGCACCCTGGAGGTGATCCCCCCACCCTGCACGGAGCACCCAGGGTCAGGCCGGGAGCAGGGTGACCCCAAATCTTGCAGCACCGAGGCCGGTCGGTTGGCAGACAAGGAGCAGTGACCCCTCCCGAGAAAAGTGGGGTGGCACCAGAGTAATCAGCAGAAATGATGCTTTTGGTGTATTTGATGGTAAAGCAGCTCCTGCAGCTGAACCCCTCAACCCCTCATCCGCGGCTTCGGGATGAATCCGAGTGGATTTGGGGTCGGAGCTCCAAATGAGCCAAAAGGGGAAGGGGGGGGGGGGGGATTTATCAGCCTAAATCCCCCCCCCCCCCCGGCGCTCTCCGTACGCGCTGCGTGGGCAGGGAGAAGATCCGCTCATGGCTCTCCTGACCGTGGTCGCTGCCAGCCTACAGGAACGCCGCTTGCCCGTGCTCCCCACGGGCACCCCAAAATCTCCCGGGGCCAAAGTGGCTCCATCCTGGAAGGGATCGCACCCAAGGGGTGCTCCAGCCTCATTGCTGCAAAAGTGGGGCTCCCCTTCCCCACCCCCCTGACTCAGGGCGTGGAGGGGGGGGGCTGCTTGCTCAGCTCCAGGGGTGCAACACGTCGGTTCTTGAGAATTAGGGGTGCTGAATTGGGGGGGACACGGATGCTGTTGTCCGCAGCCGGCGTGGCAGCATGCAGGCAGCCTGTCTAGCGGTGACAGCACTCCGCTCCCAAAATACTGGGGGGGGAGGGGGGGTGGGGAAAAGGTGTGTGTCAGCGGGACTCCCCCAAATTCCATCCTGACACCCCAAAAAGCTGCAGCGTTTCTGGAAGGTTCTGCCAAAGCAGGGCCGGGTCCCGTCCCCCCCTCCTCATCCTTCCCTCCTGCTGTCGGCCACGACGGTGACACCAGCCGCACTGAAGCCCCCCAGGTCCTGACACCCAGGTACCATGGGGGGGGGGGGGGATGGACAAGGGGAGGGCAGTGCCGCACCCCCTGACCTGCCTGCCAGTGTTGGGGGGCCAGCGGGAGCGCCCCTAAGCGCCCTAAATAATGAATGATGGGGGGCCAGCGAGCTGTCAGCAAGGGGTCGGGGTGAGGGATGGCACCGAAATGGGGTTTTAACCCCTTGGCCACCCCTCTGCGACAGCCAGAGGTGGCCGGGGAGGGGGTGTCACGGGAGACACCCCAAAAACTCTCCTCAGGCGCCCCGTGTATGGGCTGTCGGGGGTCACTGGGCTCTCCCCCTGCGGTCCCCAAATCCCCAACCTCTTTTTCCCAGGGTCGGTGGGTTCACAGCAACCGTCTCGGCCAAGCTGCGTCCCCAGGGGTCTGGGAAATTGGGGGAGGCCAGAGGGAACCCCCTCCCCACCGGCACGGGTTGGGGGGAGGGTGTCGCCCCAAAAGACGGGCAGCCCCCCGCGGGACCAAAGCATCGTGTCCCCGCGCCTCAAGACCTGGCACCCCCCAAATGTTCGGGGCGGGGGGGGGGGGGGGGGGGGTGTGACACACACATCAGGGTCCGGTTCCTGGGGGTCGCTCCAGCCTCTCACTTGAAACACGAGTGGGGAGAGCTGGGGTGACCCCCCCCACCCCACCCCAGGACAGCGATGCCCAGATGTTTGCAGCTGAGCCCGGCGCTGGGGCGGTGCAGGCAGCGCTGACACGGGCAGCGGAGGTATTTTGGGATCCCCCCCACCCCCGCAACCTCACTCCGGGGGGGTGCCCCCCCACCCCCCTCCCCTCCGCCCCACTCACCGGGTGCCTTTGTCTCCCATGGCCCCACCGATCCTCCGGGCAGCTCAACCGGGAAGCGCCGACCGGGCTTGGAAAATTACTGGCTGGATGGTGGAGGGAGGAGAGGCGGCGGCGGGGCGGGCGCTGGGCTCGGTACGGCCCGGTACGGCCCAGTATGGCCCAGTACGGCCCGGCTCGGAGAGGTTCGGAAAGGTTCGGAGGGGTTCGGAAGGGTTCGGAAAGGTTCGGAAGGGTTCGGCGAGGTTCGGAAAGGTTCGGCCCCCCCCCCCCCCTCCCGGTTCGGGCGCTGCCGCCGCCTCCGCCCGCCCCCGAGCGGCGCGGCCCCGGGGCGGGGGGCGGCGGCACGCGCGGGACCACACGCGCGGGGAGGTGGGGGGGGGGGGGGGGAAGGAAGGGGAGGGGGGGGGGGACACACACGGAAGGGGAGGGGGGAGGAGGAAAGGGAGGAGGGCGGGGGGACACGGGAGAGACGGAAAAGATGAGGGGGGGGGGGGGGGTGTTGTGTTTGTGCACCGCCCTGCGCGCGCGCGCGCGTGGGGACGGAGGGGGAGGTGCGCCCCCCCGTGCCTGCACACGCGCGCGCACGCACACACACCCCCCCCACACAACCCCCTTTGTGCGTGCGCACCCCCACGCGTGCACCCTCCCCCCCACACACACACGTGCACACACACACCCCCCCCACGTGTGCACGCACACCCCCCACGTGCACCCCCCCCCCACGCACACACGACCCCCCCCGCGTGTGTGTGTGTGTGTGCAAACCCCCCCTCAAACCCTGCGGGCAGCCCCTCCCCTCCTGATTGGCTGTCTCCCCCCCCCCCTCGCCCGCCTCCGTCGCCAGAGCAGCCAATCGGAGCCGCCGTGGGAGCGGCCCCCGGTTTATTCCCACGGGCACCCCCCGAACCCACCCACGGAGCGTGGGGCGCGGCACCGCCCGCCCGCGGCTTCGCAACCCCGCGGGGAGCGGGGAGGGGCCTGCGGGGCCGGGCCAGGCAGTGGGGTCCAGTCCAGTGCAGTGCGGTGCAGTGCAGTGCAGCACTGTCTGGGGTGGTGCCGTGCAGTGCGGTGCTGTGCCGTGCAGTGCCGTGCAGTGCAGTGCGGTGCGGTGCGGTGCAGTGAGGTGCGGTGCAGTGAGGTGCAGTGCAGTGCAGTGCAGCACTGTCTGGGGTGGTGCCGTGCAGTGCAGTGCTGTGCCGTGCAGTGCGGTGCGGTGCAGTGAGGTGCAGTGCAGTGCAGTGCAGCACTGTCTGGGGTGGTGCCGTGCAGTGCAGTGCTGTGCCGTGCAGTGCAGTGCGGTGCGGTGCAGTGAGGTGCAGTGCAGTGCAGTGCAGCACTGTCTGGGGTGGTGCCGTGCTGTGCAGTGCCGTGCTGTGCAATGCAGTGCGGTGCGGTGCGGTGCAGTGAGGTGCGGTGCAGTGTAGTGCAGCACTGTCTGGGGCGGTGCCGTGCATTGCAGTGCTGTGCAGCGATGTGCAGTGCAGTGAGGTGCGGTGCAGTGCAGTGCAGCACTGTCTGGGGCGGTGCAGTGCTGTGCAGTGTCATGTGATGCGGTGTGGGGTGGGGTGGTATGGTGCTGTGCAGTGCGGTGCTGTGCAGTGCAGTGCAGTGTGGTGCGGTGCTATGCTGTGTGGTGCAGTGCCGTGCAGTGTGCTGCTCAGCACTGTGACCCGGCGCTGCGCAGTGTGGCATGGTGCCGTGCAGTGATGTGCAGTGCAGCGTGGTGCTGTGCAGTGAGGTGCAGTGCAGTGCAGTGATGCGCTCTGTGGCCCCGCGCAGCGCCGCGCCGTGCTGCCTGGTGCAAGCCAATGGATTATGTGCAGAATGGTCCAGTGCTGTGCAGTGCGGTGCGCTGTGCTTCCATGCAGTGCAGTGCAGTGTTGCATGATCCCGTGCAGTACTGCACCATGCTGTGCAGTGCCGTGCAGTGCTGTGCAGCGCTGTGTGGCCTGGTGCAGTGCCGCGCAGTGCCGTGTGGTCCAGTGCAATGCTGTGTGGCCCTGTGCAGTGCTGTGTGGTCCAGTGCATTGCAGTGCAGTGCTGTGTGGCCCTGTGCAGTGCCGTGCAGTGGAACTTCCCTGCAGGACCGCGCTGGCGAGGCACAGCACCCGGCCGCAGGATCGCACCCACAGAGCCTGAGCCCCCTCCCCACCCCCCCCAAAATGCACCCACTGGCTGCTGCGGGGAGTCCAGCACTGGGAGCACTGGGGGCACTGGGTTTGCCCAGTGTGACCAGTGTGCAGGTGCCACCCCCCCCCCAGGGAGGGAGCTGGGGACACTGCAGGGGACCATCCAGGCACAGGATGGGGATGGGTGGCAGGGGGGGTGCTGAGCAGCCCCCCCAAAACCCACCCCAGTGCTGGGAGGGGGGGTGGCCCAAAGGTGGGGGACGTCCTGGACCTGGGGGTCACGGGGGTGGGGTGTCCAAAGGGACGATGCGGTGTGGGGCACGGGAAAAGGGGACAGGGTGGGGACAGCCGGACAGACATCTAGGGACAGAAGGACAGAAGGAAAGCGATGGCTGAGGTACATGGGGGGAAGGGGGGAGCCCCAAGGCCAGGGTGAGGGGCGTGATGGGTGACCCTGGCACCCCACGTGCACCCAGGGAGGCAAACGGACGTCACCAAGGGCACGGAGCCATCGGTGTCAGAGGCGGGAGGGGGCAGCTCCAGGCTGGGGACCCCAAATGCCGCTGGTGTCCCCTGGGGGGGTGGAACATCCGGAGGGGTCCGTGTGTGTCCCCAAGGGCAGTTTTGGGCTGTGTGAGGCCCAGCTGCAGCCACCCAGTCCCCACCGTGGCTGTGACGGGGGCTGGGGGTGACCTGGGGGTCCCCTCGCAAGGGAAGCTTTGCCTGCACCCCAAACCCCTGCCTGCACCCCAAAATGCCTCACACCCTTCACACGCCTCACACAGGTTCAGGTCCAGGCACCCACCAACCCACCGCGGGGAGATCAACGTATGAAATTTATTTAGGAAAAACAAAACCCACCAAAAAAATAAAATAAAGGAGGAGGAAGAGGAGAAACAGGAGGAGGAGGAGGAGGAGAAGGAGAGGAGGAGTAGGAGAAGGAGAAGAAGAAGGAGAAGGAGAAGAAGGAGGAGAAGGAGAAGAAGGAGGAGAAGGAGAAGGAAAAAGAGTAGGAGGAGAAGGAGAAGTGGGAGGAGAAGAGGAAGAAGACAAGAAAGAGGAGAAGGGGGAGAAGAAGGAGGAATAAGAGGAAGAGGAGGAGGAATAGAAACAGAAGGAAGAAGAAGGAGGAGAAGGAGGAATAAGAGGAGGAGGAGGAGGAGGTGGAGGAGGACAGTCATCTCCCCCTGGGGCTGCGTCGGAGCCCAGAACAACCAGCGCGGCGAGAGGGAGGACGGAGAAGCCGGAGGCGGTTGCACACGCCTGTGCCACGCGTGGGGGAGGCAGGCAGGGTGCCAGCCACGCACCCCGGCATCCGTAGGGGCATCCATAGGGGAATCCATAGGGAATCCATAGGAGAATCCATAGGGGAATCCATAGGGGAATCCATAGGGGCACATATGGGGCCGGGAGCCGAGGGAGCGGCGACCACCGACGCACGCCAGCGGCGGGAGCTGGCCAAGTGGGGTACAGCTGGGAAACGGGCGGCCCTGCATGCCCTGCCACGGCGTGGTACCCGGGATGGGGCACCCCAAATGCAGGACACCGCCCCCTACACCCCCCCCGCCTCCCAGTATCCATCGACACCAGTTTGGGATGGCGAGGTCCCTCCCGGATTGGCACCAGGCTGGGGGCATGGCCGTGCTGGTGTTGCATCGAGGCTGGAGCCACCTTCCTCCTCTTGCAGTTTGGGGGTTCGCTGCCTTCTGGGCCTGTCCCTGTCCCCCCGCTCTGTGCCATCATGTGGGGGGGGGGGGGTGTCTTCCAAAGCCGTGGGCCAGCAGCCAGGGGTGGTCACCTGGACAGGGGGGGGGGGTGTCCTACCAGGGTTTGGGCAAAGCGTCTCGCTAAAGGCATCTCCGAGTAGGTAAGGCAAAAGGAATTCAGTTCACGTCATCCCCGGGGGAGCAGTTCGGCTTTTTTTTTTGTTTGTTTGTTTTGGGGGGGAGTGGAGGGTGTTGCTCCTGCAGACCCCCGAGAAAAGAGGCGCGAGGCGATGAGAGGAGCGGCCGCCCCGCAGCCCAAATCCCAGAGGGAGCCAGTGCAGCCGGGGAGCATCACCGCACCGTGGGATGATGCTGGGGGGGGGCAGGGAGGGGCGAGCAAAGATGGGGTAGCAAATCACCCCCCACACACACTCCCCCCCACACACACCCCCCCCAAGTTCCACCTGTGCTGCCCTTGACCCTGGTGGGACCGATCCCCGTGGGACCGACCCTGGCAGCGCCAGGATTTTACCGTGCCGCTTCCACCACTGGCCCTGGCCATGATGGTGAACCCCCCCACACAAACCACTCCCATGAGCCGGATGATGCAGCTGGGGGGGGGGGGTGCTCAGCACCCCCCCAATCCCTCAGGGCTCAGCACCCACCCTCATCCCCACCCTCCAGGCGAGCCGCCCCGCTTCCCCTGCTCATGGGTGTTTTGGTGGTGGTTGAGGGGGGTTTTGGTTGGGGGTGCCACCGACCTGGGTGACGCATGGTTGGAGGGACCCTGGGGGGGCTGGTTGAGCAGAGCCCCCCCACCCCGGGGCTGAGGGGGTCTACACGTGTTGGGTTGGGGGATTGGAGGGACCGTGGGGAGGCCAGCAGGGTCCAGGCGTGGTGGTGAGGGGAACAGGAGGCACCGCTGGAGGCCATCACCGTCCATGCATGGTGGCCTGCAGGCCCAGAGGGACCACGGGAGGATGGTGGGGTCCATGCATGGTCATCAGTAGGACCAGAGGCACCACAGGAGGCCATCAGGATCCATGCATGGTGGTCTGTAGGACCAGAGGGACCATGGAAGGATGGCAGGGTCCATGCACGGTGGTCTGTAGGACCAGAGGGACCATGGGAGGATGGCAGGGTCCATGCACGGTGGTCTGCAGGTCCAGAGGCACCACAGGAGGCCATCACCATCCATGCACAGTGGTCTGGAGGACCAGAGAGAACATGGGAGGCTGGTAGGGTCCATGCATGGTCATCAGCAGGACAGGAGGCACAACAGGAGGCCATCACCATCCATGCATGGTGGTCTGGAAGACCAGAGGGACCACGGAAGGATGGCAGGGTCCATGCATGGTAATCAGGACAGGAGGCACCACAGGAGGCCATCACCGTCCATGCATGGTGGCCTGCAGGCCCAGAGGGACCACAGGAGGATGGTGGGGTCCATGCATGGTCATCAGTAGGACAAGAAGCACCACAGGAGGCCATCAGGATCCGCGCATGGTGGTCTGTAGGACCAGAGGGACCATGGAAGGATTGCAGGGTCCATGCATGGTGGTCTGCAGGTCCAGAGGCACCACAGGAGGCCATCACAGTCCATGCATGGTGGTCTGGAGGACCAGAGAGAACATGGGAGGCTGGTAGGGTCCATGCATGGTCATCAGCAGGACAGGAGGCACCACAGGAGACCATCACTGTTCATGCATGGTGGCCGGTAGGTCCAGAGGCACCACAGGTGGCCATCACCGTCCATGCATGATGGTCTGGAGGACCAGAGAGAACACGGGAGGATGGCAGGGTCCATGCATGGCAGTCAGCAGGGCAGGAGGGATGGTGGGAGACCAGCAGGCTCTGTGCATGGCCAGCGGGACCTCAGGAGGCCAACAGGATCCATGCACGGTGATCAGTAGGACAAGAGGCACCACAGGAGGCCATCAGGGTCTATGCATGGCAGTCTATAGGACCAGAGGAACCATGGGAGCATGGCAGGGTCCATCCATGGTGGTCTGTAGGACCAGAGGAACCATGGGAGGATGGCAGGGTCCATCCATGGTGGTCTGTAGGACCAGAGGGACCATGGGAGGATGGCAGGGTCCATCCATGGTGGTCTGTAGGACCAGAGGGACCATGGGAGGATGGTAAAGTCCATGCATGGCTGTTAGTGGGACCAAAGGAACCACAGGAGCATTGCAAGGTCCACGCATGGCCGTTGATGGGACCAGGAGGACAGCAAGAACCCACCAGGGTCCACCCATGGTGGTCGGGAGGACCAGAGGGACCATGGGAGGATGGCAGGGTCCATCCATGGTGGTCTGCAGGACCAGAGGCACCACGGGACATCGGACTTGGGAAGCCACCACGAGCTGGGGCTGCTCACAGCGCAGCTCCTCGCTCCCAGGGCGGGCACCACGGAGCCGAACCAGCACCCAGGCGGTGGGGACACGCAGGGGACACGTGGGGGACACGGAGCAGGAACACCACCACCACCCCCCCCAGCCTTGGCACGCGTGTGTAGCCCTTGCAGGGGATGGGAGACGAGTTGGGCAACCTGGGCTAGTGGGAGGTGTCCCTGCCCGTGGGGGCTGGGGGGGAACTGGGTGATTTTTAAGGTCCCTTCCACCCCAAAATCTCTGGGATTCCACGAGTTCTCCCACGGGGAGAGTGGGTCTGGGTGGGGGGTGGGTCCTGGGGTGAAGGGGGGGAGAGGGAGAAGCATGGTGGGGGCCGGTCTGGCAGGGGGGGTGCAGGCAGAGCATCCCCACGGTCACGGCCACAGCCATCCCACTCCAGGTGCCTCTTCCCACCCCCAACCCCCCCTCCACCCCCAACCTGAGCCAACCTCCTCCCACGGGCCCGATCCTGGCTCCTTCATCTTCAAACCTCCCAGCCCCTTCATGCTCACCCCAGCAGCACTTCCACCGCCCCCCACCCCCCCACCCCCCCTTTTCATGACCCCTCCATGGGATGTTTCCACCAGGACATCGTCCCCAGTGTCGACCCATGGGGACGGGAGCCTTAAGGCAGTTTAAAGCACATCCAGCCCCCCCCTCCCCAGTGTCCCCAGCCACCAAGGCAGGCTCCCAGTAAAGAAAGGTTTGGGGATCACTGGGTGGAGGGAAGGGGGGGGGACACACACCTGAATACCTGCCCCAGAGGGAGGGGACAGTCACCCACGGGTGGGGGAGGACACCAGTGGGTGCAGACCGCACCGCAATGGTCCAGAGTCACTGATTGGGGGGGGGGGAGTGTCCCCCAAACCTCCTCCCCACGGCGCTGGGGGATGAGCGTTGGGGCTGCTCCTGGCCTGGCCGTGGGGGGGGGTGGGTGTCCCCCCTCTTTGCCTCACTCGGCCCCCAGCTCGGGCTGCCCCCCCTCGGGCTCCAGGCAGCCATTGAGTTGGGGGTCGGGGGCCTGCGGGTCATATTCTTCATCCAGAAAGTCCAGGGAGTTGTTACTGGGCAAACCCCGGATGGTGAATTTGTGGGAGACCTTCGTCCACTGCTCCCGGTTGCTGGCCACCCTCTCGTAGAGCTCCGCCGCCTTGGGGAAGAGGTCTTGCAGCAACCTTTTTTTTTTTTTGGGACACACACACACACACACCCCCATCAGCATAACGTTGCACCTCTTCACTTGGATACAACCCTGCTCCCCCCCCCGCCTCCATCCCCACTGCTTGGAAATCCCACCCCTCACATCTGCAAGAGCTCCTGCTCAGCAGCCCCCCATCCCACCCTGGATGGGAAAGGGGGGGGTGGAAATGGCAAAGGGCCCCACCCACCCACCCCCAGCCCTTGGCGGGGTTGAGGGGGGGCCTCACTTGTAGATGGGCATGGCAATGTGCTCCATGAAGCTGATCTGCAGCTCGGGGATGTAGGCTTTCTCCCGGTCCATCATCTCCAGCGGACGGTTGCCCATGGCTTTCTCCTGCAGCAATGGGCAAGGAAGGAGAGAAGGGGGTCAATGCTGGTGGCCCCCCCTCCCCATTCGCAGGCAATCCCCCCCACTTCTCCCTCCCCCTCACCTCATCCAAACGCCCTTTGTTTTGGCCAAGAGTGTTGGCCAAGCCCAACCCTACGCCAAGCCCTGGTCCTACCTACCAGGTCACCCTGGGAGAAGAACTCCTTGTAGATCAGCTCCTGCAAGGGACAGGCTGTCAGCATGGCGGGGGGGTTGGGGGGGTGCATGCCTGGGGTGCCCCCCTCGCCTCACCCCGCACCCCTCTCCATGGCTGCAGGAGAACGGTTCTGCATTGGGGAGGGGGCTGCTGGCTGGTCCAGGGGTGGCACGATGCCACTGCAAGGGGCCAGCCCGTCCCCAGAGCTTGGGGACATCTGTGTGTGCTGGGGGAGGGGGAGGTGGAGGGGCATTCAGGGGGTCAGCCCCCCCCCCCCCCCCCAACGGCGTGGCACTCACTGCAATCTTCCTGGTGGTCTTCCAGCCCTTGGTCTGGTCGGAGAGGTCACAGGAGGTCATGAGCAGGCAGAGCAGCAGGCTGCGGTGCTGCTTGTTCTTGGGGTCGTAGCCCACTGCCGGGTGGGGAGCGGGACAGGGGTTGGGGTTGGGGGGGGCTCAGGAAGGACCTCCCCCCCCCCCAAATCCTCCCCCGCCTCCAGCACCCCCAACACAAGGATGTGAAGAACAGCTAGGACTTGCGGTGCCACCTCTTAGCTTTGATGGGGATGAGTTCCACCCCACCCCCCCGAAACAGCACACACACACCCCAAATCCCAAGCACATGAGCTTCACCTTCTGCCATCTTCTGGAGGTCCTTGAAGATGCGGAGGTGGTGGGCCAGGTCGGTGGCCAGGATGATGTCCCTCATGAGGTCCAGCATGCGCTGGTAGTCCTACAAAGCCAGGCAAGGCGGCTACTGTGACCGGCTCCGTGGCCCCTGCCAGCCCCTGCACCCCTGGGGGGGCTGGAGGGGATGGGGGAGGGGGGGTGGGAGGTGGGGAGAGGGGTTAAAATTGGGGAGGCTGGGGGCAGCGCTCACCTTGCGGGAGAAGTGGTCGAAGATGTTGCAGCCCTGGCTGTTGAGGATGGCGATGGCTTGGGCGAAGTGATGCCTCTGCGGGAGAGGTCGGGGCCGTGGGTGTGGGCAGGGTGCAGGCAGGGTGAGGGCAGGGTGCAGGCAGGGGTGCTGCCACACAGCCGGAACCCCCCCCGAGAGCCAGGTAGGGGGAGGTTTGGGGGGGAACACGACACCTTACCTCCATGACGGAGCCCTCCGAGCTGTACAGCGCAGCCAGGACCGATTTCTGCAAGGCAAAGCAGCCGGGAATCGCAGCGCTATGGGGGTGAAGACCCAACCCCCTCCCTCACCCCCCCCCAAATTTGTCCCCACGTGTGTGTCCCTCTCCCCCCTCCCCGTCCCTCCGCACCCATCCCAGCGCAGGGCTCGGCTCACCGAGGCCACCTGGAAGGAGTTATTGGTGCCTCTGTGGTCCAGGTCGTGGCACATGCAGGAGATGAAGAGGGCAAAGATCTCGATGTCTCTGGGGGGGCAGGGAGGAAGGGGGCCGGGGGGGAAGGTGGGAAAAGAGGGAAACTGAGGCAGGCAGGAGGTCAGGAGCACCCCGGCCAGGCTGGGGGACAGCGCCTGGTGGCCTTACTCCAGGTAGTTGACGAGCTCCAAGTTCTTGTAGAGCAGGTAGCAGAAGTGGGAGACGGAGAAGGCGTGCATCCAGTTGTGGTAGGGGGGGTCGCGGTAGCCCTTCTTCACCATCAGGCAGAACCTGGCACGGGGGGCGCGGGGAGTGTCAGGGACATGGGGGGGTGGTGGTGTGTCCCCCCCCCCCTCCCCCAGGGACCCCCACTTGCCCAGGTGGGGTTGGGGACGCACCTGGTGAGCGTCTGGCGGTCCATCTTGTAGTTGTTGATGAAGTTCATGTCCTGCAGCATGCTCAGGATGGCCTGCGGGGACGGGCTGGGTGGCAGCGGGTGACAACACCCAGCAAGGGGGGTGGAGGGGTGTGTGTGGGTGGGTGGGTGGGTGGGTGTGGGTGTGGGGGGGTGTGTGTGTGTGTCCCCTCCCTCAGCATCACCCCAGCCTGGCAGGTAGGGCGATGGTGTTCAGGGGTGCAACCGCATCCCTCCCACCCCAGCACCCCAGGGGGTCAGGGTACACGACCCAACCACGTAGGGGGGGGGGGGGGGGGGGGGGGGGGAAGGGGGAAGGCGGTGGCAGTTGGGGACCGTCCCCGACGTCCTCACCATGGAGGTGTCGTCCTCGGGGAGCGAGCGGGGCGTGTAGGTGAAGCTGGCGAAGTTGGGGTCGATGGTGGACACGGGCTGGATGCCCTCGCTCAGCAGTTTGGTGTATTCGTCATCCGAGACCTGCGGGAGCCGTTGCCGGTGGCCCGTGCTGGGAGCGGGACCCCCCCCCCCGAGGGGGTGTGTGTCCCCAGGGTGGTTGGTTGTCCCCAAGGTGTCCCCGTGCTACCTCACCTTCATGTGGTACATCATCATCTCGTTGGCCAAGTGGCTGCGGTACTGCGCCTCGTTCACCTTCTTGTACAGCAGCGACTGGGGGGGGGGGGCAGACACACACGGGAGAGCTGGGGGTGGGCAGACCCCCCCCAGCACCCTATGGGTGCTCCCCACCCCCCCATCCCATCGCCACCACCACTTGTCCCCAAAGAATGGGGACCACGCTCATGTCCCCCCCCCCCCCCATCCCGGCCCCTCTGCACTGTGGCCCAGCGCTGGGGCAGAGCGAGGAGGGGGATGGGGGGGGGCTCCCCCCTCACCAGGTTAGGGACCCCCCCCCCACCCCCCCAAAGGCACGTACGTGGGCGATGCTGATGCCGCAGTAGATGGAGAAGGCGGTGGCCAGGTCCTCGTCGAATTTGCTGAACCAGGGCCCGTTGATCTTGTTGACCAGCTCCGCCACCCCGATAACCTCTGGGAGCAGAAGAAGGTGGGGGGGACGGGGGGACAGAGGACAGGATCAGGCCCCCGTTCTGGGGACAGGATCATGCCCACACGCCGAGGGGAGAGGATTGCACCCGCATGCTGGTGACAGTGCTGTGTCCGTGGGCTGGGCACAGGATCAGGCCCCTGTACTGGGGGACAGGATCGTGCCCATATCAGGGGGACAGGATCGTGCCCATTTTGGGGGGGACACAGGACTGTGCCCACATGCTGGGGACAGGATCGTGCCCATGTCCTGGGGACAGTGCTGTGCCCATAAGGGGCAAGAGGGCAGGATTGTGCCCATGTCCGGGGGACACAGGACCATGTCCACGTGCTGGGGACAGTGCTGTGTCTATGAGCTAGGCACAGAATCAGGCCCCTGTACTGAGGGACAGGATCGTGCCCGCGTCAGGGGGACACAGGACCATGCACACATGGTGGGGACAGGATCGTGCCCGTATCAGGGCGACAGGATCGTGCCCATGTCAGGGGGACACAGGACCGTGCCCACAAGCTGAGGACAGGATTGTGCCCACGTGCTGGTGACAGTGCTGTGTCCGTGGGCTGGGCACAGGATCAGGCCCCTGTACTGGGGGACAGGATCGTGCCCACGTGTGGGGGACAGGATCATGCCCATGTTGGGGGGACACGGGACCACATCCATGTCGTGGGGGCAGGACCGTGCCCACATGCCCGGCCGGGCTCACCCCCGTGTCCTCAGCGGGTGGGGGGGGTACGACACACACAGACAGACACACGGCCACGCCGCCGCGTCCGTGCTCTGCGTGACAGCACGGTGCCCGCAGAGGTCCCCGCCATGCCGCCCCGACTCCCGCCCCCTCCTTGACTCCCACGCCTCCCCCACTCCCACGCTCCCCCCCCCACTCCCACGCCCACCCTGGCTCTCATTCTTGATGGGGAAGCAGAGGATGTTGCGGGTGCGGAACCCGGTGCTGTCGTCCACCCCCCGGTAGAAGAGGGGGTGCGCGTAGGCGTCGGGGATGTTGAGGATCTTCCCCGTGGTGGCCACGTGCCCCGCGATGCCCTGGTCCGCAGGGATGCGGATCTCGTAGCTCTGTGGGTAGGGAGAGACAGGGGAGGGGGTGGTTGTTTTGGTTTGGTTTGGGTTTTTTTTTTTTCGGGGGGGGGGGGGGGGAGTGGGGGGGTTCACCAGCACCCCAGGACCCCCCAAAGACCACCCCCCTCCCCACCCTCACCTCGTCGTCCACCACGCCGCCGTCAAAGACTTTGGCCACCAGCTCGTGGCTGAGGCGGTCCAGCAGGAACACGGAGCATCTGGAAGAGGTCACGGTGGCACCGGTGGCACCCACGGGGCTTGGGGGGTGGGCCTGATCCCCCATCCCCTCCCCAGACGTGTCCCCCCCCGACTCGTGTCCCCCCCCAGCCCACTCACATCTCCGCGTTGCTGAGGTTTCGGGCCTCCGTGATGATCTCCTGGAGCAGAACGGACACGTCGTCTGTGGGGAGGAAAAAAACAGGGTGGGGGGGGATTGTATACGTGTACATGTGTGTCTACACACCTGTGCGTGTGTGTGCACACACGTGTACATGTGTGTCTGCAGGCCTCCGTCTATGCACGCATCTGGGTGCCCGTGCATGTGTATGCAAACATGTGTGCACCTCTGTCTGCAAGCCTGTGCATGCATGTGCATGCCTGCATGTGCACGTGACTCTGCATGCCCGTGCGTGTGTGTGCACACATGTCTGCATGTGTGCATGCCTCTGTGTGTGCACCTGTGTCTGCATGCCCGTGCATGCATGTGCACGTGTGGCCACACCCCTGTGTGTGCATGCACACACATCTGCATGTGTGCCTACAGTCCTGTGCAGGTGTGCACACGCACGCATGTGTACATGGGTCAGCATGCCTGTGCATGTGTGTGCACACGTGTGTGCTTGTATACATGCCTCTGTGTGTGCATGTGTGTCTGCATGCCCATGCATGTGTGCACACATGTGCATGTGTGTCTGCAGGCCTTTGCAGGTGTGTGCAGGCGTGCATGTGCACATGTCTGCATGCCCATGCATGTGTGTGCACATGTGTCTGCAGGCCTGTGTGTATGCACACACTGGGTGCACATGTGTATGCACACACTGGGGTGCACGTGTGTCTGCACACCCATGCGTGTGTGCACACACATGTGCGTGTGTGTCTGCATGCCTGTGCACGTGTGTGCACACATGTGTGTGCACACTGAAGGGCAACACACCCTGTGCAAGCGAACACCAGCCCATGCAACACAACAGCATGCTTGTGCGTGGTGTTCAACCACAGCTGCCTGGGAGGGGGGAGTGTGTGTGCAGCCGCACGCGTGTCCCCACGGCAGCACGTGTGTCCCCACAGCGGTGCACGTGGGTGTGCAGCAGTGCAAGCACGCAGTGGTACAGCTTTTGCCTGCAGCAGCGTGTGTGCACGCAACAGCGCATGCATGCATGCAGCATGTGTGCAACAGCACGTGTCAGTGTGTGAGCAGCAGCACGTGTGCATGCAACAGCACGTGTGTGCATGCAGCAGCATGTGTGCAGCAGCATGTGTGCATGCAACACCACATGTGCATGCAGCAGCGCATGTGCATGCAACAGCACACGTGCATGCAGCAGCACGTGTGCATGCAGCAGTGTGCGTGCAGCGGCACACGTGCATGCAACACCGTGTGTGTGCATGAAGCAGTGTGTGTGCATGGAGCAGCACATGTGCATGCAGCAGTGTGTGTGCAACTGCAAGAGTGCATGCAGCAGCACGTGTGCGTGCAGCAGCATGTGTGTGCAGCAGCATGCGTGCATGCAACAGCATGTGTGTGCACACAGCGGTACACGCACACGTGCAGCAGTGTGTGTGCAGCAGGGCGCCCGTGCACACGCGTTTCTCAGCGCACGCAGCGCCCTGTGCCCGTGCAACGTCCCCGTGTGCCACCGTGCAGCCTCGGCACCGCAGGGGACAGTGTCCCCCCAAGCTGGGGAGATGTTGGGGGGGGACACACACCCCCACCACCCCCGTGTCTCCCCCCAGGGGTGCTCCCTGCACCTACCCAAATGCGTGAAGAGGTTCTTCGCCACCTGCAGCAGGGCCTGGCGGAGACAGAGGGGACACGGTCAGTGCCCGGTGGGACACGGGACACGTGCACGCGTGGGCTTGGCGTGACACGAGGCGCTCACCTGACACTCGCACTTGAGCTTCTGCTCCTTCTGGAAGGCCAGAGTGCTGGTGAGCACCGTGGAGGTGTAGCAGAAGCAGTGCTGGATCTTGTGCTCATCCGCCTCCGTGTAGCTGCAGGGGAGGGACACACACACACACGGGTGGGGGGACGGACACGTGTCCCCAAATGTCCCCACGCCCCCCCCTCCCTTCCCATTTCTCCCCAGCGACAATGCTACCCCATAGCCAAATGCAGCCGCAGCATGAGGGGATGCGAGGGCTGGATCCTCCGCCCTCCCACGACCCACCACGGCACCCCCACGCCCCCCCCCCCCCCCTCCCCCCGTGCTCACCTCTCCCCACTCAGCTTGTTGAAGGCGCAGGCCAGTGCCACCACGCGGGAGGTGGCCCGGCTGATGACGGGGACGCACAGCATGGAGGTGACCTCGCAGCCCAACATGCTGCTCAGCTGTTTGTGCTCCTCCTGCAGAATTTTACACACATACACAACGCCCCCCCCCCCCCCCCCCCCGCCAAGAATCCTCATGGGGACACTGCTGGGGGGGGTTGACAACAGTGTCCCCAAGGGGGGGACACACACACACGTGCGCACACAGGCCCCCGCTGAGAGCTGGCACCCACCTCACTGACGTCCTTCAAGGTGATGGACTTCTTGTCCTCTACCACCTGCCCCAGGCGCCCGAAGGTGAGCTGGGGAGGGGGGACAGGGACAAGGGGGGGGACACAGGTGAGCCCCTGGCACCCCCTGCCTCCCCTCCCAAATGTCCCACACTCCCCCGTGTCCACGTGTCCCCCGCCCCGCCTCACCGAAAAGCTGATCTCCTCCTCCAGAACATGGTCCCCCACCACCTGGAAAAGATTTTGGGGAGGGGGGGGGGGGTTGGTGTGGGAGCTGTGCTGGGGTGTGTGTGAAGGGGGGGATTGTAATGGGACCCACTGGCCCCACGGCGAGTGGGGGGGGGTCCTACGTGGTGGCGGGGGGACACACACGCACACGTATCAGGTTGGTGGCCCCCACCTGGCAGAAGAGCTGGTGGTTGTCCTCGGAGACGAGCAGGAGGCAGCAGCACAGTGACTGGGTCTCCTGCTTCAGCTGGGGGAGGGGACAGGGGGTGGGGGACACAGGGGGTGGAGGCGGGGGGGGGGGTGGTGTGTCAGCACCCCCAAAAACCATCCCCGCCCTAGGGAAGGATGCAGCCCCACCTCTGCCTGCCTGCACCCAGAGCACCCCCCCTCCCCGTGCCACGGAGAGCGGAGTGCCCCCCCCACTCCCTGCCCCAGATCCCCTCCCCTCTGTGAGCGAGCAGGTTAACTCTGGAGACTACTGATGGCGAGGGCAACGCTGGGCACCCTGGGCGCTACTGAGGGTTGTGTGGGGGATGCTAGAGTGTAGCGGGGGGGTTGGGAGGGGGACACCCACAGATTTACTTTCAGGGGTCCTGTGGTTAGGGTGGCACCGTTCACTCGGAAGACTACTGATGGTTATGAGAAGGTTGTTCACTCTGGTCACTACTGATGGCTGCCCAGCCGACGCTTGAGGCGTTTCTTTGTTTGGGGGTGGGGAGGAATTTTTTGTTTTGTTTCGTTTCAGAGGGGTTTTGGGGGAGAGAAAACAGGGCTCCTCGCTGTGTCCTGAGGGCTGGGGGCGGGGGGGGTGGGGAGGGTGAGGCAGGGGCCACGGGACGGGGCGCAGCGATCGATTACTCACGTAGTTGACGACCTTGAGCTGAAGTGAGGCGGCATCCAGGTCGTACAGCTCGCCTGAACGGGGGGCGAGAGTGCCGGGAGAGGCTCAGCACCCTGATTTCACCACCCCCCCCACCACCCCAGGGTGTTTAGGGGGAACCCCCCCCCCCGCCCCCAGCTCACCGCAGAGCTGCAGGATCTTGCAGTCCAGGTCGCTGTAACCGGTGTCGGGCGCTTTGTCGGGTTTGACCAGTGAGTTCTGGGAGGAACTGGTGGAGAGGCTGACACGGGGCCAGGGCTGCAGCTTCTGCAGGGCCCGCAGCCGCCGGCACGCCACCAAGGCCTGCAAGGGGTGGGGGGTAGGGGGGGGCGCAGGTGGGACGAGTTTGGGGCGGGGGACACACACACACGACACAGAGAAGGGACAAAGGACAACGGCGGGGACATGGGGAGACACGTCCCCCCCCAAAGCCAGGTCCCGCGGCCGAGCCCCGGGGCACTCACGTGTCTCTCCAGCGCGCGCAGGTTCTGCTCATCCGAGTCGCTCAGGTGGGCGCAATGTACCTGGGGAGGGGGGGGGGGGGTGGTTTTTGAGGGGGCGGTGGGGAGCTCTGTGTCCCTGTCCCTGTGTCGTCCCCCCCGCCCCGAGCACTGCCCGCAGCCCCACGCTCACCAGGAGGACGCAGAGCACGGCCCCGCTGTCCGGGTCCACCAGTGGGATGATGAGCACTGCAAGGCGGGAGAGGGTCGGCACCGGGGGGGGGGGGGGGGGGCACGTGCCCGTGATGTCACCACCACGTCACCACCATGTCCCCACCACATCCCCCCACCACGTCCCCATGACCTCCCCACCATGTCCCCATGACATCCCCACCACATCTCCACCACATCCCCGCCACGTCCCCGCCACGTCCCCGCCACGTCCCCGCCATGCCTCCATCCTCTCACCTACTAGCTTTCCCACTCATCTACCACCCACCCATGCCGCTGCACCCACCATTCTTTCACTGGCTCATTCCTCACCCACCCATATGTCCGTCCCCCCACCCATCCACCTAATGACTCTTCCTCGTCCATCCACTCATCCACCCATCCACCTCCACCCATCCATCCATCCATCCATCCATCCATCCATCCATCCATCCATCCATCCGTCTCCACCCATCTCCATCCATCCATTCATCCACCCATCCCCATCCATCTCCATCCATCCATCCATCCCCATCCACCTCCATCCACTTCCCTCCATCCCTCCATCCATCCACCTCCATCCATCCATCTCCATCCATCCATCCATCTTCATCCATCCACGTCCATCCATCTCCATCCACCTCCATCCACCGCCATCCATCCATCCACCTCCATCCATCCATCCATCCATCTCCATCCATCCACCTCCATCCACCTCCATCCATCTCCATCCACCTCCATCCATCCATCCATCCATCCATCTCCATCCACCTCCATCCACCGCCATCCATCCATCCACCTCCATCCATCCATCCATCCATCTCCATCCATCCACCTCCATCCACCTCCATCCATCTCCATCCACCTCCATCCATCCATCCATCCATCCATCCATCCATCCATCCATCCATCCATCCATCCATCCATCTCCATCCATCACTCCATCCCTCCATCCATCTCCATCCATCACTCCCTCCCTCCATCCTTCTCCATCCATCACTCCCTCCCTCCAACCATCCATCCGTCCATCCATCCACCTCCATCCATCTCCATCCATCCATCCGTCCATCCATCCATCTCCATCCATCTCCACCTGCCTCCATCCATCCATTCATCCATCCACCCACCCATCTCCACCCACCTCCATCCATCCATCTCCACCTATTTCCATCCATCCACCCACTTCCATCCATCTCCATCCATCCATCCATCCATCCATCCATCCATCCATCCATCCATCCATCTCCATCCGTCCATCCCCACCCCCCCAACCCCCCCCACCCCACCTTGCGTTCCGGGGGCCAGGGGTGCTGCCAGGGGTCCCAGCTGCCTCCCAGGGAGCTCGGCGGGGGGCAGCCCCCCACACTGCACCCGCGTCTGCCGCCGCACCGCATCCCTGCGGGGGGGACAGGGACGGGGATGGGGACAGGATGGGGACAGGGACAGCCTGAGCCACTGACCATGGCGGGGGACAGGACCCAATGGCACCCCCGACCAGGGGCACCCCCCCACAGCACCCCTGGGCAGGGGCACCCCCCAACCCCTCAGCCAGGGGCACCCCCCCAGGCAGGGGACACACGTGCTCAGGGAGGGGACAAGCCACCAGGACTGCACAGCACATGTGGGCACACGTGTCCCTGCGCACACACGTGGGTACGTCTGTCCCCATGCACACCCGTGGGCGTGCATGTCCCTTGCACACGCATGGGTGGGAACATCCCTGTGCCCATGCATGGGCAGGTGTATCCCTTGCACACACGTGCGTGTCCCTTGTACACAGGTGGGCGCGCATGTCCCTTGCACATACAAGGGCGTGTGTGTCCCTGGCACACACGTGGGTGTGCGTGTCCCTTGCACACTTGCAGGCATGCATGTCCCTTGCAAACCCATGGGTGGGCATGTCCCTTGCACACGCACAGGTATGTGTGTCCCTGCGCACATGTGTAGGTCTGCATGTCCTTCTGCACACGTGTGGGCATGTGTGTCCCTTGCACACATGTGGGTGTGAGTGTCCCTTGCACATGCAGGGGCAGGCATGTCCCTGTCCACACACGTGGGCATGCCTGCCCCCTGCACACGTGTGGGTGTGCGTGTTCCTCGCACACGTGTGGGCGGGCGTGTCCCCGTGTGCCCACCTGAGCTTCCCATCGGGCGGCAGCTCGTGGGGGGGGTCGTCACAGATCAGCCGCGTGTCCCCATCCAGCAGATAAATGTACACGTGCTCCTGGGGGGCCAGAGAATGGCAGTGCTGAAGGAGAGGGCACCCCATAGTCCCCCCCGGGCCCCACAGACTCCCCCTGGGCCCCCACAGACACCATAGACCCCCCCGGGCCCCACAGACCCCCCTGGGCCCCCACAGACACCCCCTGGGCCCCACGGACCCCCACAGACCCCAGACACCCCCTGGGCCCCCACAGATCCCCCCAAGCACCCATGGACCCTCCCAGACCCCAGACACACCCTGGACCCCCACAGATCCCCCCAAGCTCCCACAGACCCCCCTAATCCCCCACAGACCCCCCTGGACCCCACAGACCCCCCCGGACCCCACAGACCACCCCAAGCTCCCACAGACCCCCACAGACCCCCCCGACACCCCCTGGGCCCCTACAGACCCCCCCAAGCCCCCCACAGACCCCTCCAAACCCCCCAGACCCCCCCAGACCCCAAAGACCCCCCAGACACTCTCTGGGCTCCCCCCAGATCCTCCCTGGACCCCAGAGACCCCACAGAACCCCCCGGACCCCCACCCCCACCCCTCCAGACCCCCCTGGACCCTCTCAGGCCCTCCCAGACCCCCCATGGGACCCCCAGCCCCCCCCACAGGGCCCGGCCCTGTCTGCCTCAGTTTCCCCAGGCACGCAGGGCTTTTCCACTCAAGAGCCATGGCACCCCATGCATAAACAAGTGTGCACACACACACACATGTACAAACACACGTACACACCCACCCATGGGTGTAAACACATGTACATACCATGTACAGACACACACACGTGTGCACACACAGTCATGTACGTGCCAACACACTTGCCCACGCGTACACACGCGTACACCGATGTGCAGCCATGTGCGCACTCACACGTGTGTGCACACCTGCACGTACACACACACACACACAGATGTGACCACCAGCACCCTTGGGCCACCACCAGCACCTGTGGGGCCACCACCAGTATCTGGGGCCACCACCAGCACCCCAGCATTGCCACCACCACCCCTGGGCTACCACCAGCATCCCTGGGGCCACCACCAGTATCTGGGGCCACCACCAGCACCCCAGCATTGCCACCACCACCCCTGGGCTACCACCAGCACCCCTGGGGCCACCACCAGTATCTGGGGCCACCACCAGCACCCCAGGACTGCCACCACCACCCCTGGGCTACCACCAGCACCCCTGGGGCCACCACCAGTATCTGGGGCCACCACCAGCACCCCAGGACTGCCACCACCACCCCTGGGCTACCACCAGCACCCCAGGACCACCACCAGCACCCCTGGACCACCAGCATCCCTGGGGCCACCACAAGCACCCCTGGACCACCAGCACCCAGGACCACCATCCCCACCCCCGGGCCACCACCAGCACCCCCTGGGACCACTGAGAACCGGGGACCACAAGCCACAACAGTGTGCGTGTCGTCGTCCCCCCCCCGCCCGGAGCGCACCGTCCTCCTGCACACTCCCCCCCCCGACCCGCGGCACAGCCCCCCCCGCGGGCTCGGCCCCACGTACCACGCGTGGCAGCAGGCAGGCGAGGGCGTGGCGCAGGGCGTGACGCAGCCCCGACGCCTCGATGACGGCGCCCAGGCTCAGCAGCGCGTCCTGGGGACAGAGAGCGGGGCCGGGGGGGGCCCTGAAGCCACGGTGAGGGGCACCGCGGGGCTCCCCTTCCCCAGCCCCCCCCCCCCGCCTGTTTTGGGGTTAGAATGGTGCTTTTCGGTCAATGGGAGAGGAGGGAAGTGGGAGGGGCTTCGCCGTGGGGTGTGCTGGGCTCAGCGTGCTGGTGTACTGGGAGCACTGGGCTGGAGAGCTGGGGGACTCCCACGCCGATGGGTGCGCTAGCCACGCCGGTGCTGGAGGTAGCCACGCCAGTTCCTGGCTCAGCCGGGCCGGGGCCACAGCGGTAGCCACGCCGATGCCTGCACTAGCCACGTCACCCCCAGCACTAACCCCGCCAACACCTGCACCGGCCGCTTCAGGACTTGCAGTAGCCACACCACCCCCTGTGCTAGCCACACCGGCACCTGCACTAGCCGCACCGATACTTGCACTATACGTGCTAAGACCTGCACTAGCCACCCCACCCTCGGTGCTAGCCCCCCTTCCCCCGGGTTTGCTGGCGGGTGCCGGGGCACAGAAACGGGGGGCAGGAGCCGGACAAAAGGGCTGCAGGTTGTCGGGGGGGGGGGGGGGGGGGGGAGTGCACGGAAACATTGGGGGGAACTGGGGGGCTCTGCAGTGTAACACACACACCCCCCCCCCCATCCCTTCCTCCAGCCCTCGGCTGGGAAACCGGGATCATCCCACTGTCATTCTGGGAATTGCTGGGGGCTCCCAGTTGGGGCACTGGGGTCGCTCTTCCTTCGGTCCCCGTTTTACCAGCAGCAGGTGTCAATCCCCCCCCCCGCCCCCCGGTGTCACCGCAGGGGGTCCCCAACCCTGTGCCACCCCCCCCGGGGTGGGGGTGGGGTCTTGGCTGGGCCCGATCCGGTGGCGGTGCTGGCACTTCCAGCCGCAGAGGCCGGCGCTGGTTGTTATTCCAACAGGGCCGCGTCTCCAGTCGCTTACTCACACTGGAGACACATGCACTGTAGAATACAGCCAGGCCTCGTCCGTCCGTCCGTCCATCCGTCCCTCTGTCCCCTTGGCGGCGGCTCAGCATCCCCATCGTCCATGGACTGGGGGCGGGGGGAGGTGGGGGAGACCCCGAGTGGGATCCCTGGGGGCTGCGGGAAATAGCGGCGGCGCGGGGACACTGGGAATGGTTTTACTGGGGCTGGGAATGGGGGATGGAGCTGAGGGCGGGGGGGAAGGGAAAAGCCACCCCGGGGTGAGGGGAGAGAGGCGGGGGGGGCTGAGGGGAGCGGTGCTGGCATGGGTAGAGCACCCCACTGATCCCACTCACCCCACTCATCCCGCTCATTCTGCTCATCCCACTCATCCCACTGATCCCCATCATCCCACTTGTCCCACTCACCCCGCTCGTCCTGCTTGTCCCACTCATCCTACTGAACCCACACGTCCCACTTGTCCCACTTATCCTGCTCAGCCCACTGATGCCACTCATCCCACTCGTCTTACTTATCCCACCAATCCCACTTGTCCCACTGATCCCACTCATCCCGCTTATCCCACTCATCTCAGTCATCCCACTTATCCCACTCATCCTGCTCGTCCCACTTGTCCCACTCACCCTACTGATCCCACTCATCCCACTCACCCAGCTTGTCCCACTCATCCCACTCGTCCCACTTGTCTCTCTCATCCCACTCGTCCCACTCATCCCACTTGTCCCACTTACCCCACTCATCATGCTCATCCCACTCATCCCACTTACCCCATTCATCCCACTCATCTCACTGATCCCACTCCCCCACTCTCCCCCGTGACAGGACACTCTCCCACCTGCCCCCAGCGCCGTGTTGCTCAGCCCCAGGGATGCTGCAGCCGGGGCTCTGCACCCTTTTCCAGCCAGGATGTAGCCCTGCCTGGCACAATCGGGGGGGCACAGGACTCCCCCATATCCCCCCCCCCCTCCAAATTCCTCCTCCTGATGGGGAAGGGGTCCCCCATCCAGCGGGATGTGGTGACGTGCTGGGGAAGTGACGAGCAAACTGGAGGGGGGGCACAGATGGGATTGGGGTGTCCTCCCCACCCCTCCCCATCATTTCGGGGTGCCCTGCTGCAGGCAGGCAGCCGGTCGCTGGGGTGGGGGAAGCCTCTGACTGCACATCCCACACACACACCCCCCAAGCAGTGCACGGGAGGGGGGTACCCCTGCTCTGGCCCCCACAGATGCACCCCCAAACCAGGCAACGTGCCCGAGAGCAGCAGGATGGTGGGGGAAAGGATCCGTCCCCCAGCACCCCCAAAGCAGGGCCGGGAGCACCCCCCGAGTGCCGGCAACACCGGCCCACACTCCACAGCCTGGGATCCCTGCACCCATGCCAAGGGGCTCGTTAAGGGGCTAATTAGGCTCCCAAAGCCCAGCACCTGCAGGGCGAGCAGGAAGGGGCTCCAGCACCCATCCGGACACGGGGGTCAGGGTGCTGGCAGCAGCTCCAGCACCTATACGGACATGGGGGTGAGGATGCTGGCAGCAGCTCCAGCACCCATCCAGGCCTACGGGTCAGGGTGCTGGCAGCCGCTCCAGCACCCATCCGGACATGGGGGTGAGGGTGCTGGCAGCCACTCCAGCACCCATCCAGCCCCAGGGGTCAGGATGCTGGCAGCCGCTCCAGCACCCATGCGGACACAGGGGTGAGGGTGCTGGCAGCTGCTCCAGCACCCATCCAGCCCCACGGGTCAGGGTGCTGGCAGCCGCTCCAGCACCCATCCGGACATGGGGGTGAGGGTGCTGGCAGCCGCTCCAGCACCCATCCAGCCCCAGGGGTCAGGGTGCTGGCAGCAGCTCCAGCACCCATCCGGACATGGGGGTGAGGGTGCTGGCAGCCACTCCAGCACCCATTCAGCCCCACGGGTCAGGGTGCTGGCAGCCGTTCCAGCACCCATCCAGCCCCAGGGGTCAGGGTGCTGGCAGCAGCTCCAGCACCCAACCGGACACAGGGAACCCCAGCACAGCTCCCCCCCGCCCCCCCCCCCCCGCCCAAACCAGACCCCATTGGGATGGAAAAGCATCCAGGGAATTCACAGGCAGCAAAAACGTGGCTTTTTTCGGGAAGGGCCGGCCAGGCATTGGAGGGGGGGCAGATTTCTGGGACAGATCCATCCCCTCACTCACCCCCCCCAGCCACAGCAGCTGGGCTCAGCCCCCCCAGAGCCCCCCCGGCCTCTCTGGATGTTTATGGAATAGAGAAATCCCACCCTGGCCGGGTTCCTCTCTGGCAAAGCTCCTCTCATGCCTGCCACGGGGGGAGGGAAGAGGACTGGGGGGGGGGGGGGGTGTTGTCCCACGTGTGTCCCCCCCACCACCCCTTGCTCCTGGGTTGATGGATGGTGGAGATTTTTCCCCCCAGGGGGGAGCTCAGGTTGATTCTTCCCAGCCCAAAGCCCCGCCAGGAATGGGTAGGAGGCGGATCCAGTGCAGCGAGGGGGTGCTCAGCCCCCTTGAGGGTACCAAGGGGAACCCCCCCCCCCCCACCGCCCCCCCCCCCCCCCCGCAAGACTTTATCCACCTGGGAACGTGAGGGAGAGGATCCCCAATTAATTCTGGAAGCGGATTAAGTGCGTCAGCCCCGACGCGGGACGGAGCCGGGCATCACTCCGGCTTGGACGACTTCGCTCCCCAAGCTGGGGCACCCGACTCGAATTAGAGCATGTGAGATGCTGAGCAAGCGGATCTCTGTGGGCAGAGCATCCCCCCCACACACACCGCCCCAAAACCACCCCCAACCGCCCCCCCCCCCCCCCGTGGTACCCACATCCCGTGGGCATCATCCCCACCCACAGGGCAGACGATGCCCGGTGCGTTTGCCCGGCTGCCAGCTCGGGGTGCGAAGGGATGGGGATGCTTGTGAGCGGGGAGGGGAGGGGGGGGGGGGGTGAGCAAGGAAAAGCGGCCCCCCCCCTTCCATCACTCCATTTATCGCCTTGCCAGCCCCCAGCCTTGCGGCATCTTGCAGGACTGAGGAGCGTCTCCCAGATGCTGCTGCTCGGTGGAGCATCCCCGGAGGAGCAGACGTAGTCATCCTCACCGAGGGCTCCCCGCGGCACCAGGGTGGTCACCCCGTCCCGCAGAGCCGGGGCTGGGGGTGGGGGGGGTGGTGATTCAGCTCCCTCCCCCCGCCGGCTCGGCCGTGGCCACCAGCCCTTGGCTGACAGGCAAAAAAAAAAAAAAAAAAAGCAAATCCCATTTGCGTTCCGGCTGCCGCTCGCTGCCAGCCGGGCTCTGCCAGGGTCACCACCCCGGGGGCTCCCTGCCTGTACCCAAACCCGCAGGCAGCGACACGCCGATCCTCTCCCAAGCCACAGCTCTGGCTTTCCCCATCACCACTTTCCCTATCATCACCACTTTCCCTATCATCACCACTTTCCCATCACCACTTTCCCCATCATCACTTTCCCCTCTCCAGGGCACTTTTTCCCCTCCCGCCTCCTCTCTGCAGAGGATGACAACGGTCCAGGACCCCCTTCTGCCCCCACTGCAGGGTTTTCCCTGCCCCTTTGCCACCTCCCCAATGCGTGGCAGCAAGCTGACACCCCGGGACCCCCGGGGAGCAACCGAGCCCCCCCCCCAAACCGAGCCCCAGCAGCTGGCGGCTGCGAGCAAACACCCAGCCCGCGCCGCCCTGCCCAAGCATTTGCCGAGCAATCTGGCGGCGTTAAAAATATCCCCGAGCTGTGATTCATCCTCCTCTCTCGCCTCCGGCAATGCCGAGCTCCCCCCCAGCCTGGTTCCCCTCCCCGGGGGGCTGCTCCCCGCCATCCCCCCCCCCACCTCCGGCTGCAAGGCCCCGTGCTCCGGCCGCGGCGGTTAAATATAGCCAAGCTCTGGCTGCGCGTTAGCAACGCTGAGCTGAGAAGGAGCAGGCGGGAAGCCTGGCGCAGGCGGAGGCCAAGCGGGGAAACTGAGGCACGGGATCTTGGAAACGGTTCCTGAAAGCTGCAGGACCCCGCCGCGAGCTTTGCTGTCCCCCTCCAGC